GGCCAGAAACTGTATTCCTCCCGCCCTGAATGCTGTCTGGGTACCTGCACACAACAAGTGAATGTATCCGACCATAGGCCTGGGCACGGTACCTGTGACTCTACAGTTGACTTTGACTGTTGAGTTTCCTTTGTGCCGCGTTCGGTCACACAGCCTCCTCGACAGACTCAGGCTGGGCATGTCTCGGTCACATAGCCCGGCACAGACAACTGAGTCTGTGTCTTACCGGGGGCAAAGTTCTGAGCCCTGGTCTGCTGCTGAACAGGGTTACTGCACCAGTCTCAGCAGTCTTTTTTTCTTTTATCTTTTTTCTTTTATCTTTTTTCTTTTTTCCAGTCTCAGCAATCTTCGCTGGGCTAAAATACAGCCAAGAAGGGCCTTTGGCCCAGGTCATACAAATCATAGAACTCTGATGACTGCATGATCTTTCATTTCTTTCTGTACATTTCAGGGATGCTGGATCCGGTTTCCAACAAGTGCAGCTCTCCACTAATATTGGATGACATGAAGAGACTGTGGAGGTGCCTCGCTAAGGGCATGGACTCGTGGCGGTTGCCTGTGGGCTTGCTAAAGGTTGGCTGGAAAAAAAAAAAAAAAAAAAAAAAGGAGGAGCCCTCCAACCGGGGACCAATTATAGAGGATGTTCTTACCACCGCTGCAAGCGACAACCCCCTCACAGAGGATTCAAAAAAAAAAAAGGACAAAAAGAGGAAAAGAAAGGGATGCCACTCGCATCTGATTTGTGTTTATGTGTGATGGGTTCCCCTCAGGTACCTGCCTGAAGAGTGCAGATCATCAATTATGAACATGTTCAGAGTTCCTCTGAACATTTTTGTGGTGCTAATTCTTCTTAAGGTGTGTGCGTCATCTCAGCCTATGTATCTCTGGTCCTTGCATGCATATTGTTTTTTTGTCTTGTGAAATGTTTTCTTGTTTGTTTCTTGCCCTCTCTACTCTGCTTTTCCTTATTCTTGTCTGTTCTTGTCCTTTGTTCTGTGCCATCCTATCCTGTTCTTTCCTCTCCTACTTCTCCTCTTTTCTCTTCTCTTCTCTTCTCTTCTCTTCTCTTCTCTTCTCTTGTCTTCTCTTGTCTTCTCTTCTCCTCTCCTCTCCTCTCCTCTCCTCTCCTCTGCTCTGCTCTGCTCTGCTCTCCTCTCCTCTCCTCTCCTCTCCTCTACAGTCCTTTACTCTGCTCTGCTCTACTCCACTCTGCCTTACTCTACTCCATTCTGCTCTACTCTACTTCACTCTCTTCTTCTTCTTCTTCTTCTTCTTTTCTTCTTTTTCTTCTGCGTTTTCTTCTTCTTCTTCCTCGTCCTCTTATTCTTCTTCTTCTTCTTCTTCT